TCAGTAATATATTATACTAAGAAAGGGGAACTATCCTTCTCTGAGAGTGCTCCAGATACATTGAAACAAGTAATGTAGTGTTTTCACCTACTGCATATAGGTGTTATTAGCACTATTTTATACACAAACCAAGAACAAGAAATATCTGGCCAAGATTATGCAGTTTATAAGTGATAAGATTCAGTTTCAAAAAGAGGAAGGAAGCAAAACGCTTCAGTTTCAAACCATGACCAGCCTAACTTCAAACCTGGCCCCAGTGCCCTTTTTTTTTTTTTTTTTTTTTTTTTGTACTGGGAATCAAAACTCAGGACCTCACACTTGCCAGGCAGGCGCTGTGCCGCTGAGGTAAATCCCTGTCCTCAGTGTCCTTTCTGTTTCACTGTATACACTTCTTCCAACATTGTTGTATAACATCAGGAATTTATCAGTACAGGAGGCAAGATTTACTTGTAGGAACTGACTTTTTTTTCTAAATATATCCTATTTACCAAACAACATCAGCAAACTTGAAAAATTCCTAGTGATACATTTTGGATCTTAAAAGGTCTGCCTGCAGAGGTCCAAGTGGTAAAGGTTTAGTCAGGTTGGCACTCTTGGAAGGTGGTGAAACCTGTAAGAGTTAGTGTGTAGTCTTTGTCTTTGCAGAGGATAATGGGAGTCCAGCTGCTGTCTTCCTTCCCACTCCCTGCTTCCTTGCCATGAGGTAAGCAGCTTTGCTCTGCCATGTGTTACTTCATTACAAGCCTAAAACTATGAGCCGAAATATTTTTTCCTTCTAAGTTATTTCAGCTACTGTATTTGCTATGACAGAAAACTAACAAAGTTAAATAGAAGAATGAAATGCTTTGGTGAATCAGAGTCAAGATTCTTCTTTTATTTGTTTTCTAATGCTTGGGATTGAATCTAGAGCTTTGCACATGCTAGATAAGAACTGTAGCTGAGGTACATCCTAAGCTCTTTTTTATTTTGAGACAGTCTCACTATGTTGGCCAGCCTAGCCTGGAATTTTTGATCATCCACCTCAGTTTCCCATATATAGGGTGATTGTAGGGTACTACTACACCCAGGTTGTTTACTTTTTAATTTGAACAAATATATGAATAGTTTGCTTGTTAGGATCAGTGCCCATATTTTAATAAACTGAAAATTTCTGTATTCTCTCAACCTTTGGTATGCATTCACTCCTCCCCCACCCCAACAAACATTTACCAACTGCTTACTAATGATACAAAGGAGAAGAGGTAAGGTTTCTTTCCTCAGTGAATTTATTATCCAAATAAATATCATTGGTTGACCTCAGTTTTCTTGCTCCCTCAAACCATAACACTAATTTAATCATGAGAAAAACATCAAATCTTGTTGGAGGAATATGCTACGAAGTAGCATACTGGTATTCCAAAACTATATAGGTCATCAAACATGGAAATTCTGAGAAACTGGCAGCAAGAAGAGCCTAAGGAAGACATGGCAATGTATGATTATGATCCAGGAATGATAATAACCACAAAAATGTTGTTAGGTGAAAACTAAGGAAGTCTGAATAAAATGTGGGCTTCAGTTAATAATGTATCAATAATAGTTTATTAATTATAATTAAGTACACCACAGTAATATATTAGTAATGGGGATATGGGACTGCAGGGTATATGGGAACTTTGAACTGTCTATAATTTTTCTGTAAATCTAAAATTTCTTATAGAAGGTTAGATGCCTCTGATCCCAATACTCTGGAAGACTGAGGCAGGAGGATTTAAATTTCAAGCCTGGCCTGGGTAACTTAGTGGCTTAGCAAGACCCTGTTTCAAAATAAAAAAGGGGGATTAGAGGTGTACCTGCATGTGAAGGCCTTAGGCTCAATCCCCAGTACAAAAAAAAAAAAAAAAAGATTAGAGGCTATTTTGTGGGGTTTTAATTAAAACATTTTCTTCATAATATGGTTGTCCTAATATAGCTGACTCATTTTATGGGACTGACAAACTGCATAATACTAATAGAGTTATGTGCCAAAGGGTCTATGCTAAGTGAATGTCACATAAATGTTTTCCACCTCACTGTCAGGTTTGTAGGTGTCCAAAAAAAAAAAAAAAAATGCAAAAAGCTACTCAACAGTCAGACAAATGTAAAAAAATCTTACTTTATAATACTGCTTAATTGAAAATTGGATAATCCTCACAGTGGCTTGTGAACAAAAATGATTCATTTCATATAAGAATGCTTTTTTATGTGAGTTGGTTGGGGCTAAAAATTATAAATGTATGTTACACTTATGTATGAATAAATTCCATGTTATTTTTTCTGCAAGTGCTTTATAAGATTAGTATGACTTTGGTCATATATTTATGGGGAGTGACATAAATTTAGAAGCCATGGATTTAGTTTTAAGAACAAAACATTTTGGGAAACCTCGTAATCACAGAGTTTATAGTTTTACTAAGTATATCTTAATCATTAGTTATACAGTAACTGTACCTACATGTAAAGAAAACCACTCATAGAAATCTTCCTATTTAAGAACAAATTCTGTTCATAGTGAATGACCTTAGAGGTTCTTTCTCTGTAGCATGCTAAGAAAATATTACTTTAAAAAATCAGTACAGTTAACAATTGTCTTGTTTCTCGCTCCAGAACCTACTCTCCAGAATCCCTAATTCTGAACTCTCCTATTTCTGCAACATCTCCAACTTAATTACTTAATGCTGCTTTACTTAATGACCAAACAGGAACTGGCTTTTGGGCTGAATCCTGTTAACTGGCTTAGCCAATAAGAATAGGGTTGTTTTTATGCTGATCTTAGGTGTCACAACTATCTTCTCAAGAACTGCTAGTTGAATTTCGTGAAATATTGTAGGGTTATTTCCATCTTTGCTTATTTTATTTCACTTAATTTAAAAAGGAGAAAAGAACTGGGGATATAATCACTAGTAGACATTTACCTAGCATGTATGTAGCACTTGATTTGCTTTCCAGCACTGAAAAAACTAATTAATTAAAAGTAGATGAAATAAATGTGATTGAAATTAAAATAATGACGTGAAAATAATTAAGTTATTTTCTTTTAAATTCAATGTGTTTTTAAGTCAACCTAAGCTTAACAGAATTGATTTTAGCTGGGCGTGGTGGTGCACGCCTGTAATGCCAGCACTTGGGAGGCTGAGGCAGGAGGATCATTGTGAGTTTGAGACCAGCCTGGGCTACAAAGTGAGCTCAAGGCCAGCCTGAACTGCAGAGTGAGACCCTGTCTCAAAAAAAATAAAACAACAACAAAAAAGAATTGATTTTATTTTGATTAGTATGTATTGTATATTAATGAGGTTCACTGTGCTATTTCAACATATACATACCATGTGCACTGATCAATTCTAGCCTCCCTTTATCCACCACCGTCTCCTTCCCGTGCTCTTATAATCACTATTTTACATTCAGGACTACTTTTTTTTTTTTAACTTCTACATATGAGAGCAAATATATAGTAATTGTCTTCATGTGTCTGGCCTATTTCACTTAACTTAGAGTTCTCTAGTTTCATCCACTTAGAGTAATATTCACCGTGTAGAGAGAGCACATTTTCTCTGTCCATTTATCTGTTGGTAAGCACCTAGGTTTAGTCCATATTTGAGCTATTGTGAATACTACAAAAATAAGCATTGGGTGTGCTAGTATCTCTTTGGTATATTGATTTCATTTCCATTGGGTGTACACCCAGAAGTGGGCTAGCTGGTTTATATGGTAGATCTATTTTTTTTTTGAGGAACCTATATACTGTTCTTCATAATGGTTGCACTAATTTACAACAGTGTGTACAAGAGTTCCTTTTTCTTCATACCTTCACCAGCATTTATTCTCTGTCTTTTTGATAGTAGCCATTCTAACTAATATCTCTGTGGTTTTGATTTGTATCATCCTAGTGGCAAATGATATTGAGCATTTATTCATGTATTTTTTGGCCATTTGAATTTCTGTGTGTGTGTGTGTGTGAGAGAGAGAGAGAGACAGACAGACAGACACAGACACAGAGACAGAAACAGAGAATGAGAATATAAATGAATACTGAGGATCCAACAACCCAGGGGTGCTCTACCATTTAGCTATATTCCCAACCCTTTTAATTTTTACTTTGAGACCAAAGTCTCACTAAGCTGCCCAGGCTGGCCTCAGACTTCTGATTATCCTGCCTTGGCCTCCTTAATAGCTGGAATTACAGCTATTCACCACTATGTCCGGCTGAATTTCTCCTTTTGAAAAGTGTCTATTTAGGTAATTTGACCATCCTTTAATTGAATTAGTTGGATTGTTGTTGTTAAAGTTTTTCAGTTCCTTTTATTTTCTGGGTATTAGTCTTTTGTCAGATAGTTTGCTTTTTTTTTCCTCCCTATTTTGTAGGTTTTCTCCTTGCTCTGTTGTTTCTTTTGGTGTGCAGAACCTTTTTATTTTGCTGTGATCCCATTTGTCTGTTCTTGCTTTTGTTTTCTGTGCTTTTGGGGTCATAACAAAAAAAAAAAAAATCTTTGGCTATACCATTGTCTTGAAGTGTTTCCTCTATGCTTTCTTCTAGTAGGTTCAGAGTTTCAGATCTTACATTCAGGTCTCCGCTTTGACTTGATTTTTGTACAGGATGAGGTGGGGGTCAAGTTTCAGTTTCCATATGTGGATGTCCAGTTTTCCCTGCACCATTTATTGAAGAGGCTGTTCCTTCTCCAGTGTATGTTTTTGGCATTTTTGTCAAGAAGCAGGTGGCAGTAGATATGTGGATATATTTCTGGGCTCTCCATTCTTTTTCACTGATCCATTTATCTGCTATGGTTTAGATCTAAAATATTCCCCAGAGTGTTCAGCAGTGGGGCTTTTGGAAGGTGACTGAATCATGAGGGCTCTAATTGTATCATTTATCAGTTCAGATAGTCTTTTGGTGGAATTTTTAGGGTTTCCTATATTTAGAATCATATAACTATAAACAGGGCTAATTGGAATTCCCCTTTCTTCTTTCTAGGCCTTTTATTTCTTCTTGTCTAATTGCTCTGGCTAAACATTCCTGTACTATATGAATAAGAGCAGTGATAGTGGACATCCTTGTCTTATTACACATTGGACAGAAGCATGGGGAAAACCTGAAAACTTCAGTGTGATATTGGCGGTGAGTTTGTCTGTATAACCTTTATTTTGAGTTTTGATCCTTTTATACCCAATTTATTCAAGGTTTTTATCATGGAAGGTATTAAATTTTTATGAAAGGCTTTTTTGTGATCTGTTGAGATGACTGTATTATTTTTATCTTTCATTCTTTTATTCTGTGTATCACATTTTTTGATTTGCATATTTTGAGCCGTCCCTGCATCTCTGTGATAAATACAACTTGATTATGGTGAATGATCTTTTTGATGTGCAAAAGTCTTGAGGATTTTGCATTTATGTTCATCAGGTATATGCATCTATAGTTGTTTTGGTTTTGATGTTTCTTTTTCTAGTTTTAGTATCAAGATAATGCTGGCCTCATAAAGTGAATTTATCAATTCACTTCTTTTCAGTTCTTTGGGATAATTTAACAAGAATTTACATTAGGGCCGGGGATATAGCTCAGTGGCACAAGCGCCTGCCTGGCAAGCACAAGGTCATGAGTTTGATCCCCAGTACCGCAAAAAAAAAAAAAAAAAAAAAAAAAAAAAAGAATTTACATTAGTACTTTGAAATTTTGATGAAGTTGAGCAGTGAAGCTGTCTGGTCTTGGATTTTCCTATATTGAGAGGACTTTTTATTACTGATTCAATCTCATTATTCATTATTGGTCTACTCAGGTTTTCTATTTCTTTATGGTTCAATTTTATTGGATTATATATGTTTGTAGGTCTGTGTGCAGAAATGTATCCATTTCTTCTAGGTTTCCCAATTTGTTGGCATATATATACTTGTCCATAATAGTTCCTAATGATCCTTTGTGTTTCTGTGGTATAAGTTATAATGTTTTCTTTTCCGTCTTTACTTTCATTTATTTGGGTCTTATCTTTATTTCTGAGTTGACTTAGCCAAAGATTTATTGACTTTGTTTATCTTTTTAAAAAACCAACTTTGGGGCTGAGGATATAGCTCAGTGGCACAAGCGCCTGCCTGGCAAGTGCAAGGTGCTGAGTTTGAGTCAGCACCAAAAACAAATAAAATTTTTAAAAAACTTTGTTTTATTGATCTTTTGTGCTTTTAAAGCTTATTATATATATATATTTCTGCTCTTTTTTTTTTTTCTGGTACCAGGAATTGAACTCACAACCTCATGCGTGCCAGGCAGGCACTGTGCCACTGAGCTATATCCCCAGTCCCTATATTTCTGCTCTGAGCTTTGTTATTTCTTTCTTTTACTAATTTCACATTTGGTTTGGTCTTACCTTTTTAGGTACTTGAGATGTATCTCATCTTTATCAGCCAGGGAATGTATAACTCAGGTGTTTGGAAGAACCCTACAAACTCTGTCTCACCCATAGTTGCAGGTCCTGCCTTCCTTGCCATTATTCTGTTTTTTCGCCCTAGGGAGACTTTTTCAACTTAGACACAGCCTGTCTCCAGTACAGGCTATAGACAGAATGAAACCCATTTTTAGAAAAGTCATATTTTTTCCAGTGCTTTCACATTAGCTAGTTTACCTCAGAGCTGATGTTCTCTAATATGCATTGATATTACTAGATTATTTATAACTACCTTTTATTTGAATTGATTAATATAATCTGTCTGATTGGATGATGTCCAGACTATACTGGCTGTTAAATATTTTGTATCTCCCCTATTTTATGTTAAGCTTGCCCTTTCACCCTCCCTCCCTATCTTCCTACCTTCCTTCCCCAGGCTGGTCTTGAACTCCTGGGTTTAAGTAATTCTCCTGCCTCTGCTTCCAAAATACTGGGACTACTGGTTATACCACTGTGGCTGGCTTGCAGTTTCATTTTTGATAGAACCTGATTGAAGTTCATATATATGGTCAATACATGTCACATCCTGTTTTTCCTATCAAGTCTCTTTTTGCAATGCACTTCTATAACTATGACTCTCAGTACAAAACAGACAAATTTGAACAGCTATCTCATACCTCTTTATAAGGATGGCTTATCCTCTCAGCGTGGTATAGAGGAGTCTGTACTGTTCTATTTGCAATTTTGACCCAGTAAATTCTACATTTTAGGGACTGTCATTTGTACCACTCTACTTGCATATACTGATTTTGGTATTATTTAGAATTTTTTTGGTTACCAAAAAGAACTGTGGTTTAGTCTGCATTAGTAATTCCCAAACCTTATTGCTTGTCGGAATCAACAGGAGGAAATTTTTAAATTGAAAATCTCTGCACCAAAAAACCCCAAAATAAAATTAAAAAAAAAAAAAAAACATTGAATTTAGATCAACAAGGTGATAGACAATAGGAATTCATAATTTTTTAAAGTTCTCGTGAGCTGGGGGTGTAACTGGTTTAACAGTGAGTAGCATATAGAAGCCCCTGGGTTTAATCCTCAGCAAAACAAAAACAGAAACAAGCCCCCCACCCCCGCACTGCTCTAGATTATTCTGATACTTTTCCTTGTTGCCAATTTCAGTGAATGACTTCCTAATTACTAGTTTATTTGTTCAGGCCTGAAAACTTGGAGTGATTTCTAAGATTTTTTTTTCTTATTTTCAGTTCATTGCTGGGGCCTGTGAGGACTAAATATCTAAAGGATTTTTCCATCCCTCTACTATACCACTTCCTTTATTTAGGCTGTGATAGTTCTTTTGGAAAATTATATCATCTCCCTAAGTATTTTTCATGCTTCTACTTCTCTGTCTCATCCCCCACCAGTAGTATTGGTACAAATATGTCAGCTCTCTGCCTAAAATCCCCCAGTGGCTTCCCATTGCTCTGAATGTACAAATGACATTTTCTCTTGCATAGGGAAGTCTCATGTGGTACCACCATGCCCTGGCCAAGACCCAGGCACATTAACTTCCTTTTTGTCTCTTGAATCACTTTTCTATCTCTGAGATTTTGTAGATGCTGTTTGTTCTTCCTACTACACTGCTTGGCATATAATAGCATTCAATAAGTAGCTGTTGAATGAATGAATCTTCACTGCTACCCTCCTAACCCAAGCTTCTAACATCTCTTCCCCAAATTACTGTACTTGCATTTCTATCCACAACTTCTCTGGTTCTCCTTTCATCAGTCTTTCATGTTGAGAGTACTATTCAGCTATAAAGAAAGATAAACTTGAGGCTTTTATAGGTAAATGGATGCAACTAGAGACCATACTCATAAGTGAAATAAATCTTAATCACATGTGTAAACATCGTATTGTCTCCCTAGTGTAAGAAATGGAAAGAGTAATAAGATACAAAAGATACAATAGATATAGTGAAAGGGAAAGAAACTGCTCAAAAGGAAAGAACAACTGGGATGGGGGAAGAGAAAAGAAGGAAGAGAAAAAAAGGTATGTATGTATATACACAAGATAGCTAAGATAATTGTACTACTAATTTCTATTAGTTCATTGAAAGGAACAGTTCGAACTTATATTGTTTGATCAATTTTGCATGTGTGTACCTGGTAATCTGAGCAATTACTTTGAAGATAACAATATGCAATATAATACCTGTTGTTAATTTCCTGTCATCTTGTTTTGAAATTCTGTATCATTTTTATTGTCTCTTTAAAATAAAAAAGTAAAAATTTTTGACATCAGATAATTATACAATTTTCCTTATACACTTCATATACTTTTTGTTTATCATAATGTAGTTTATAGAACTATTCTTATAATTGTTTTTAAATTTTTGGTAATATAGCCATAACACAATGTACTGTTTTAATTATTTTTAATTACACAGTTTAGTGGCATTGAGTAGTCACATTCACAACAGTGTGACTTGTTACCACTATCCATCTCCAGAACCTTTTTCATCTTGTAAAACTGAAACTGTATGTGCATTAAATACCTCTACTTTCTCACCTATCCCCAGCACATAGCAACTACCATTCTACTTTCTGTATCTATGAATTTGACAATCTCCTTCATATGGATAGAATCATATTCATGTGATTCTGTGTCTGACATTTCATTTAGCACAATGACTTCAAGGTTCACTCATCTGTAGTCTCCAGAACTATAAGCTATGCCTTAACTCATATTTTTTTTTTAATTCTTAACACTTTTCTATTTACTTTCTGTGCATCATCTATATTGTCTTTTTTCTGTTCTGTGGGCTGTTCATGCCCTATCCCACCTATCCTCATTCCTGTATTCTCTGTTGTGAATGCTGATATGCTTTCAGAATGGTGTTCCCAAAAGTTTGGGAAATTGGAAGCTTGGCTCCTAGTGTGGTGATGTTAAGAGGTGATGAGATCTAGTGGGAGGTCATTATGTCATCAGGGGGATGCTCTTGGAAGGGATTGATGTAGGTCTTCTGGGACCTCAGTTGCTCTCTGGCTTCCTGTCTTGCCATGTGATCTCTCTCCTGTCCATGCTCTTACCATTGTTATGCCATCCATGATGAAACCTTCACCAGAGCCCAGCTGATATCATCACCACGCCCTTGAACCTCTACACCTGTAAGCTAAACTTTTTTTATCCTAATATCAGGTATTTTATTGTAGTAGTAGAAAACAGACTAATGTTCTTTATCCTTCTTTATCCTTACTTGGTTAACCCTAGTCATTCTTTGAACTTCAGCTGAAATATACCTTCTATAGGGAATACTTCTTTGATATCTCACTACCTATTTAATCTCTATGCTGCATGATTTCTTAGTATTATATGACTTTTCTTTGTACTACTTATTATAGATTAAACGAAGCCATTTATTTGTATTTTTTAACCAGTTAATATCTGTCATGATAGCAAGGACATATTTTAGGTTGTATCCCCAGCACCTAGTAATAAAGTAGGTGTTTCAGTAAATAATATTACATACTGTATATAATAAATAATATTTAAATTTGATGACGATAACTTAAATGTTCTTTACTCTCAAAATGTACTTCTACATCTGACCCTTCCTTGACTACTTTATACTGATCTTGTTTTCTGCGAATTTAAAAGTTCTTATTCATTACTTGCAGGATACTCCACAGTCGTTCTTAAGTCACCTGAAATTTTCTGGGTTTTCATATTCCTTTCGTTTTAT